TGGGGAGGGGGTGGGGGCGTGTAGTGTGTGTGTCACAGTCCTGTGCGTGCGTGCGTCGGTGTCTGTGTGCGTGTGCTGTGCGTGAGTGTGTGTGCTGGTCGTGACGTGGGCGTGCGTGAGTTGTGGTGTGTTGTTGTGTGTGAGTGTGCGATGTTGTGTGTGTGGTGCATGTGTGTGTGTGTGTGTGGTGTTTGTGTTTATGGTATGTGTGTGTGTTTGTGTGTGTGGGGTGGGGGAAGCGCGGGGGGCGTGTCGTGTGTGTGCGGTGGCTGCACGTCTGTCTGTGTGTGCACTGCGTCGGCGGTGGGCTGTGTGGTGTGCTGCATGCCGTGCCAGTTGCGTGTGTGCATGCGTGCTTGCGGCGGGCGCCGGAGTGCAAGTTTGTGTGTCTGTCTGTGTCTGTGTATGTCCGTGCATGTGATTTATTCCTGTAATGACAAGCTGTTATACAATAACCCAAAGCCTATATCCACTCCTGCACAATAACATTATCAATATATCCTTTATAATGTCAATGTTGTTATACAATAACCCCAAAGCCTATATCCACTCCTGTACAATAACATTATAATATATCCTTTATAATGTCAAGTTGTTATCACAATAACCCCAAAGCCTTATATCCACTCCTGTACAATAACATTATAATATATCCTTGTTAATGTCAAGTTGTTATACAATAACACCAAAGCATATATCCACTCCTTGTACAATAACATTATAATATATCCCTGTTAATGTCAAGTTGTTATACAATAACACAAAGCCTATATCCACTCCTGTACAATAACACTTATAATATATCCTTTGTTAATGACAAGCTGTTTATTAGAATAACACCAAAGCCTATATCCACTCCTGTACAATAACATTATAATATATCCCTGTTAATGTCAAGTTGTTATACAATAACTCTAAAACCTATATCCACTCCTGTACGATAACGTTAGAATGTATCCCTGTTAATGTATCCTTGTCATACAAAACCCTCAATGATAATCACAGGATATACCGTCGTAAGATAACGCTGTAATGTACATTAATACACATTTTTGTAATGGAGCTGATCCTACATCACAGACAGCCGGTAGCCTGGTGCGATAACACTGTAATGTACTCTCTCTCTCTCTCTCTCTCTCTCTCTCTCTCTCTCTCTTCTCTCTCTCTCTCTCTCTCTCTCTCTCTCTCTCTCTCTCCCTCTCTCTCTCTCTCTCTCTCAGCTGTTACTGCGATAACGCTGTGATGTAATCTCTCTCTCTCAGCTCTTCCTGCATCACAGACAGCCAGTGGACGTGGGCAGCGTTGTGCGGGAGGCGTACAGGATGAGCGAAGCCATCGCGGACTCGGCCGCGCTGAACGTTCGCGCGATCGTCGACGACTTTGAGCCACTGACGACGGGAGAGTATCCCCTGTTTCGCCACTACCCGACTTACGTGGAGGACTACACGGTGGGTGGTTCTCCCGCACGCCGTGCATGCAGCCGCGTGTCGTGAAGCGACTAATACTTTATAAAATAATAATATACTAAGAAACTATCTAATATGCTATAACTTAGTATACTATAATAATATATTGGTAAATCACATCTAAATACTCAATCTCTACAAATATACCGCCGCCAAGCGCCTAATACTTTGTAATAATATATTAATAATACGCATCTAAACACTCAAGCTCTTCAATGTACCTAAACCTAAACCTGACTCGTCTAAATAGAGGTTCGCTTAATGTGTCGCTGCCGCCAAGCGAATAATACTTTATAATATAATAATATACTAAAATATAAGAAACTATCTAATATATGCTATAACTTAGTACACTATAATAATATATTATTAATAATACGCGTCGAAATACTCATTCGTTCGTCGATTCATTGTATCATCGCATCGTCATTTCGAAAACTTGTCTTCGAACGTACCGTTGCCACACGAATAATACTCTATAATAATACGCGTCTAAATACTCAATTTCTATAAATTCTACAATGTACCGCCGGCGCCTTGTGGCTCGTCAGAATACTCGTCTGTTCGTTCCGTAAAGTCTTTCCAGGCCTCGCCTGCACAGTTATCTTCCCCTGCACGGGTCACTTTCACTGTTGTTTTAAAAATATATTGTACCTACGTGTTGAATCCGTGCAGGAAAAGCAGCGGGAGTTGTACCGCCAACAAGAGCTAGAGTACCTCGCTAAGAGGAAGGAGGAGGTGGCCTTACAGACGAGTCTGCTACAAGAGGAGGCACTACACCGACAACTGAGGGAGCTGTACTCAGCGCCCTCTGGTAGGCACAACCGACGGGCTAACTCTGCGCACGTCCAGGATACTGTGTTATAGTTACAGGGCTGCACACTTCTAGAGCTATGTATTGTAAGGTTTATTACATGATACCCGTCCAGAACACTCGTCACCTCACTGACGACGTGTTTGTAATTAGACCTGTTTGTATTTAGTTTGTTGTTCGTAGAGCTGCACAGTCCAATCATATTACACCTCTGTATCTATTAGTCTGGCTATCCATCTGTCTGTGTATCTATTTATCTATCTATCTTTCTAGCTATCTATCTCTCTATCTATCTGTCTGTCTGTCTGTTTGTCTCTCTATCTATCTATATCTAGCTATCTATCTTTCTAGCTATCTATCTCTCTATCTATCTGTCTGTCTGTCTGTTTGTCTCTCTATCTATCTATATCTAGCTATCTATTTGTCTAGCTATCTATCTCTTTCTCTCTCTCTCTTTCTCTCTCTCTCTCTCTCTCTCTCTCTCTCTCTCTCTCTCTCTCTCTCTCTCCCTCTCTCTCTCTCTTTCTCTCCGTCTCTTTCTCTCTTCTCTTTCTCTCCGTCTCTTTTCTCTCTCTCTCTTCTCTCTCTTCTCTCTCTCTCTCTCTCTCTCTCTCTCTCTCTCTCTTCTCCTCTCTCTCTCTCTCTTCTCTCTCTCTCTCTCTCTTCTCTCTCTCTCTCTCTCTCTCTCTCTCTCTCTCTCTCTTCTTCTCTCTCTCTCTCTCTCTCTTTCTCTCTCTCTCTCGCTCTCTCTCTCTCTCTTTCTCTCTCTCTCTCTCTCTCTCTCTCTCTCTCTCTTCTCTCTCTCTCCTCTCTCTCTCCTCTCTCTCAATATATATATTGAGAGAGAGAGAGATGTATATGCGTGTATGTGCATGTGTGCATGCATGTAGTTTGAGTACAATTTACCTCTATAATGTGCTAGTAGGAAGTTCAGTACATGTTCCATTATATTGACTAGTTTTTGTGTGAAATATGAGCAAACTAACTTCTCGGATGATGCCGCTTCAACAAGATTAATTTAGTTGCGACAAGTTTCACATATACTCTGCTTTTTATTTTGAGCTTTTTCGATTGGATGCAGTTTCATAAGTATATAGAGAAACACACTAACGTTCAATTTGTAATTAGTGTATATATGGCAAAATAGATTCATTATCTCAACATTTTATTTAGTTGTTTCTGATGTTTGCTCAAGAGATGGGGATAGAGAGAGAGAGAGAGAGAGAGAGAGAGAGATAGAAGAGAGGTATCCAGATTCTATAAAGCAGGACAACTCTTGCTATTTTATGTATAAAGTGTATATTGTGTTCTAGTGCATTTAATTTTTGTGTACACATGTATAAAATGTTGATAAGTTCTGAAATAAATAAAAGTGCATGTGAAGCATATGTGATGGGTTTTTTGTTCAGTGATGATATGTTGTTGTATTGAGTATCAAGCGAAGATCATTTAAGTTTAACAACTAATTGCAAATCAACATTATCCAAATCTGACAGATTGGGAGTGTGACTGTTTCCTATCTTAGTTGGATTTTGTTGCTAGATTTGCCAAAATGACAGATTGTCAGGTCTAGACAAACTCACAAAAACATTATAGCTCTCAATGTAGACTACGATGCCGTTAAAAATAATATTTCTATTGTTTTATTAGAAGAATCTGGAAACTGCGTAGTAGTTGCTTGTGTTGAAATTCGCGCAAAATGACGTCATCATATCCCTAAACACGCCAATGTTTTTGTGGGGCTCCCTAGCGGTTTAGAGAGCCAACTATTGATTGGCTAGCATCTATTTAAAGGCCTCTCAGGAAATGTGACTACAATAATAAATTGTATGAAATTAGTTAGTAGTTACAGCCATCGGTATTTTTATTGTTACGTATAACGTTGGTTTTAATTCTCATCTTTTCGATTACATCAAATTTTTGTCGTATATCTTGCATGCAAAATCATTCATACAGTATCCATGGAGCCAATCACAGGCATCGTTACATTGTACCCAGCACAGTATGGCGGAGTAGCATTGAGTTTTCAGTCCTCTTATTGGGAAACGATGTGCTGTTGTATCTTCATTTCAGTTTTGTAGCAAGTTTGAACAAGCTGCTGTGATGAGTGGTTACTCTCGAAAGCAGACACAGGTAAGGGACTGTAGCTATTACTGCGTGATATTAGTAATATAAGCGTGTTTGAGTAATGTTTACGCGTGTGTTGCTGTATTGCAATGTTTGTCAATGTTGCTGTCTGTTGTTTTGTTGTCTTTCATTTGCTTCCGTTTCGTCAATAGTCGCATTTACAATAATAATCAGGACCGTTTGAATTAATTTTCATAGTGCCCGATTTATTACAGACCCAACTCAAGCTAGCAAATCAAAGTACTCAATCATTGGCTTCTTTCTTCTGCTAGTACTAGTGCTAGTGCCAGGAGACAGTATAGGCTCTACTCGTGTAGCATCTCGCTCCTGTTACAACTTACAGGTCTATGCAACATACAGTACGACAGAGAGGCCTTGCAGCATAGCAGGCTAAGCTGTACCCCATGATACTATAAAAAAATGCACAAGGCGGCAACATAAACGCCCTAACTTTAACCGCCCATTCTCGAATCAAATTCGACTTGTCGTAATTTAGCCAGATTAGGCCATTTATCGAATTCAAACAAACCAAAACATATACGAGGACATGTCAGATTAAACTAGCATTGCAACTAGTGGGATTCAGTGTCATTTTCCAGTGCTGAGTTTTGTACAGACTTGTTGCGGGAGCAAGGGGCAACACGGGTGTAGTTAAATGGCAGTGATATTACTCGTTGTCACTATGTCAGAAGTAGTTAACATGATATTACTAACTATGTACAGTGAGCGGGCAAAAGGGTTAATGCAAAGTGAGGGCATTACAGAGAAAACAAGCTTTTACGAATGGACTGTTTGAAACATGTAGTATGAGTCGGTGTTTGTAAAATTCCAAAAAATGTGTACATCCTATATTCGTAGTGGGTCTATGATGCGAAACATTAATACTGAATTATTTTTAGTAATAGTTCGCATACACTCAGAGAGGTTGTATCAGCAAGCTAACACCTGAAATGCGAGTATACAGCCAGGCCTAGGTCTGCTTCCCAGGGTACCCTAGTATCAAGTATACCAATACTGACAGCATTTAAATTTCATTGTTTCATGTATCCTAAGTTAATTAGCCTAGTTTGCATGTATTCTGCGGCATCTGATTAGCTCTTTCTCCACATGAGGCCATAATAAAAATATTGTTTGTTTGCCTTCACCCGACCGACCTGCCAAAAAGGGACCGACTCAAAAAAATTATTGATCTTTTTGTTTTTTTTATAAATTGTATCACTGTACATTATATAAATCTGTAGGCAATACATTATATGTACCAAGCAAAACAAACATTCAACATTTAAAGGTATCTCCACACAAGCACACCCGAGCATGTAGACACTATGCTGAATTTGTAAAAAGACCCCTTCAAAAAAAGCCTGCCTACCTACCCAAACTTTTCAGCCTGGGTCGGGTGAGGGCAAACAAATATTTTTTTTTTTTTATTGTGGCCTGACACACATCTGTTCTCAGTCTCTGCTATTACACGTTGTCATACATTGCGTAGTGTAGGGATTTCTTCGAAGCCATAATAACCTGATAGTTTGGCACAGGATGATGGCGATTATGTCTTGCCTACTCGCGACAGTTTGATGGTGATCACTGTGGTTTCTAGAAACTATAAGCAACGATGTAATATAGTGGAAGTAATCGGACTGATTCGGATCGCAGGGGCAAGATTATTGGAAAACAGTCGGAAAGAAATCAATATATGACGAGCTATATTTATACAGGGCCACAGCAACTGCCGAATAGTCCAGCCTGCTGCCTGTGTATTGGAATTCTGATAATGCTACAACAGAATAGCACTATATCTTCCCATGTTTCACTGGGCCATAGTGTGCATGATGGATCTGTAATTTCATACGTTCAATGTACGATGCATTTTTCTTAATAAAGCTTCAACATCTTCACAGCATAATGTATAATGTGTTTGTAATTTTGAGATGGCTGTATGGATCCCATGTTGTCTGCACTGTACAGCCATGTGAATCAGCTTTCTAGAAGAACTTCTCCTTGCTCTAGGAATGCAGGTTATCAAGTGATCATGATGCCAGGTTATTTCGGTTACCTTGTATGTTTTTATATCCTTGTAAGCTGACACTGTTGTGATCTTCCTCCATCCTTGATTCAAGGCTTTCTCAATCAGACATATGTCGTGGCACAGCTTGGTTCTGTTTCTCCAGTAGAAATGAACTCTATTGATTATTAATTAGTTCCAATTAATTTCCCAAGAGTGGTGGTGGATAGGCACACTTGGATATCGGTGTACATGTTGCTACTGTGACTATGGTTTACCTTTGTACCTACTACCTATAGGCACCTTCCTCGTGACTTGAGCGCTTATCTAATACGTGTGATGATGTAGTCTACCGAACTTTGGCACACGTTGAATTTGGCCCAAGTCCTCGTGCGCACCTCCGTCATTTGGTATAAATGTTTACGTGCGAGAGCAGGTGCGTTAGGCGTATTGCATTTTTGCTGAGAGGCCGCCCATGGATTGCATCAAGAAAAAGGTGCGTGTGGCTGTTCATTATCTGGCGTCACTATGTAGACCGAGCAGGTACGCTGAGATGTACAGTCATTAAGGTACAGAGTGCATATGAGGTGTACAGCGAAATGTAAACGACAAGCTGAAAGCGTGTGCCATGTTGAATCGCATTCATGTTTACGTTGTTCAGTAAATCACAACATTACGAGCAAGTGGTGTTGTTATTATGTAAGGTGGGAACGTGTGTCTGCATGCAAGCGTGTGTGTGCGTGCGTGTGTGTGTGCGTGTGTGTGTGTGTGTGTGTGTGTGTGTGTGTGTGTGTGTGCGTGCGTGCGTGCGTGCGTTCGTGCGTGTGTGTGTGTGTATGTGTGTGTGCGTTGTGTATATGTGTGTGTACGTGCTTTCGTGTGTGTGCGTTGTGTATATGTGTGTGTGTGTGTGTGTGTGTGTGCGTGCGTGCGTGTGTGTGCGTGCGGGCGTCCGTACACGTGAGTGCGAGCAAGCACACGTATTTACATGTGCGTGTCTACGTATGTGTGCGTGTAAATCAATCGCATTTCAGTGGCATTTAGGCTTTCCTCGCGCTTATATATAATCACGAAGGGGAGCCGAGAGAGAAAGGCTCACGCAATCAATTGTTTGTGATTTCCTTGCAGTTGCACTCGTTCCTAGTCAGCATTCATAA